AAAAGTTGTAAGATTTTGTCATGTTGCATTGCGGCTGGGTTTTCTCCTAAAGTCAAAAAACAAAGTTGTAAGATTTTGCCAAGTTGCATTGCGGCTGGGTTTTCTCCTAAAGTAAAAAAAAAAGTTGTTAGATTTTGAAGTAATTTTGTGATGTTGTTTTTTAGTGCAAAGTTACACAAGATGCTATCTGCGCTGTGTTCATCGCAGGAAATTCAAATCACATTTTAGTCTGTAAACTTACCACTGATCCACCGGGATACTTATGAAGTATGTTCAGAGCATGTTATTAAACTTGTAGAATCAGACGACATCGCTATTCCCGCCCACTAGTTTTGTTATATGCAGAACTTCCAATCATTTTGATAACCAAATTAAAAAACAAACTGCATTTAGAATCTAAATAAAAAATTAAAACCATTCCTCGACAAAACCATAAGGAATTGTGAAAATTTCAAACAGGAGAATTCAAAGAGGAGAAAACATTTTAAACGATTCAATATGACGAAGCCGAACTGTTGCATTTAGAGGTATATACAATATACCATAAACAGGAAAAACTGGAAACTTTACGTGAATTCCACGGATATATTTGGAAGAAATAAGCTGTGTTTAAAATCAAATATTGATCATTATTTGATTCATATTTTAAAGTTAACATTTTTAACAGTTTTTTTATATAAGATGAATTCATATACTTTGATTTTTTTAGCCGCAGCATAGCGGCTCATAAAAAGACTTCGAGTTTTTGTTGTTGTTTTTTCAAGTACAAACTTTTAACTCATAGCTCCGTCATCTTTTGACCGATTTTGAGATCTAATTACAGTTTTGGACTCAGGACTTCTGATTGATGTATTTGACCACGCCCAAGGTCTCACATTAATTTACTCTAATCCTGCCTAAAAGAATTTGAGGATAGGCTGTTAGAGCTCTTGATGAGTAATAAATTTGAATTGGGTATACGCGCGTTCCATGCTTGGTATTGCTGGCGCACAAATATATAGCTAATAAAAAGAGAAAAAAAAAGGTCTCATAGACTAATTTACTCTAATTCTGCCTAAAAGAATTTCAATTGCCGCGGCTACTGAGGATTCCCTCTTGTTAATGTTGAAATTATAAATCACTTGATTTGTACAAAACTCTCATGTTATAAGTAATTTAGTATTCCTTATGATACTACATTTTTACTTTTGCGTAAAAGGTAATGAAAGAAACATTTCAAATGCCTCCAAACAATAAACTATATTAATAAATAGATCTAATATAAACAGAATTACTTAAGATCAAATTTCAAGTATGTTTTACAATACATCACTTCATTAATCTAGTATATAAATCAAGATGGTTATACACTGAAAGTAATTGTTTGTGTGATTGAATGAAACTTAACATTTAATAACTACTGGAGAAATTTTGTATTGAAAATAATAACAATCGTTTAGTTGTTTAAAAAACAACTCTGAATTATTCTCCACTGATTAACATTAGTCTAAAGTAATATTTTTCTTTGAAATTTAAATCGCTTGAATTCACGAATGACACTTACTAATGGTCAATAAGAGTTTTAGATCAAATGTGAAACGTTACAAAGAACAATCTTTGTTCAAAGTGTCAATACTTCATTCAGCATAATTTAACAATTACACAAATTAAAGTACATTTTGACACTGTGAACGAAATTAATCTAGAACTTCCAAACTTTTGATTTGCTACAAAAATCATTATCACAAGTGGGTGACAAGAGATGCTAGTTAGTGTACATCATAATATAATATTTATAAAATCATATAAATATTTCAAAGCAGATCTCGTTGTTTTTACAACCTGTGGGTATCCGTGAGAGTTTGAAACAATAATAAATACTGTTAGGACGAGGAGAAACATTATTTCATATGTACTTTCCATGGGGATTTTGTAAGATCGTAAAGCAGCAGAAAGGTTTAGCTTTTTTTATGACTTTTAGTTGAAATAGGATTACTTTATGTTGGCTGTCAATAAGGTTCTAAAAATCCCGCGTGTTCTTAGGAAATGGACTTTCGTACTGATCAACAAATCTAAAAACATGACTAATTTATTTCCCAAAGCTGCTTAGATTCTCACAGATTTTTTTAAAAATAAAACTGATTTGTATCGGAAGATTGGCCTTAAAACATTTAATTCAACATTATAATAATATAACATTAATACCTGCGATTTTTATAATCATTGTTTATTTATGTGGCATTATATCTACTTGTTGTAAAATGAGCTTTTACTTGATAGAATATCAAACTAATTCAAAACGTTGAAGTTTCACCTTATCACTAAAAACTAGTCAAAGAATGAAGTTTTATTTTAATGGAATTTTCAATGAATAAAATTTGATCATGCTTCTAATGAGTGCCAAAAAAATCATTTTTTTTATACCAGAATTTTTTTAAGAAAAATTCCTTTTCGTAATCTGTATAAAGTACAGATAGAAACGTATGTTTGTTTCTTTTGTTGTTAAGCAAACCCCGTGTTTAGCGTTGTTAGCCTTCAGACTTATCGCTAAGCCACTGGAGTGCTAAAAATCAATGTGAACATCATTACATGGAGATTTCAAGTAAGTGAAACAAAGAAAGTAGAATATTCCACATATCCACAAATTATTTACTTCAAACAATGTTGTACACGAAATATTAAGCCAAGCCAGGTGTATACAGAGGATTCTATATCACTTGTTTGAATAGCTATCTTTCAAGAAGTCCAGAAAGAAACGTAAACATGCTAGCCTGAGAATTAACAACCGATGTTGTAGTATGTAGCCTTTACATATGTAAATTTACGTTGAGACATTAGGTCAACGAGTATATCATAACTACGTGTAAAAACTGCATGATAATTTTAGAAAAATATTAGGTGAATATACTTGAAAAGGATATATTATATACTATTTATGGAATTACGAAAGGGTGATATTCATGACTATTTCAATTATTACAACCTCTCTTCCTTATCCTATGGGAGGCATCGCCTACTTTAAATTTAACGTTAATGTCCAAATTACATAATTAATTAATTATATGTCGCAAAATGTAGTAATCATTTACCTCAGGTGACATGTACAATGACATGATACTTAAACAAAGAGAAGAAAGGTTAACACCTAAAATTCCACCAGCCAATTAGTAACCAAAATAATAACAGTTAAACTCGAAAATTAAAACACAACAAATCTTAATGATATAACACAAAAAACAATAGTAGAACTTCATATAGATAAAACCAAACTTACAATAAAGAGCGAAAAGTAAATCAACTTAAAATTAAATCAGTAAATAAAATATCATCATTTATAAAAAAAATAATAAAATCAGCTTCAGCAAGTTACATTACAAAACAAAAGGCCCCCCAGTGATACAGCGGTATGTCTGCGGACTTACAACGCTAGAAACCCGGTTTCTATATCCGTGGTGGAAGAGCACAGATACCCCATTGTGTAGCTTTGTGCATAATTACAAACAAACATACAAACAAAACAAAAGTGAAATTAAAAACTCCTTACACATTTTGTACAAATGGAAAACAAATTTCAAACAGGTCAAAAATTAAAAGTTTAAAATAGAATTACAAGAGAATTCAAATTGAATCCATATAATGAACAAAATTTAAACAAATGAAAATGAATGTTAAGCTTCACAATTTAAATAAATAAATACGTTAAATCGGCAAATTAATCAAAACAAAAAAGATAAAAAACACAACGAAACTTTAGACTTAACAAGAAATCAAATCTCAAATCAAAGAAAAATATAATTATAACTTTATATACATTAAAAATAATATCTGGGCACAGATTATATAGAAATAATAATATAGCCAATCAGAATTAAATACAGTTGAAAAAAATAATATTGTCAAAATAAGGCTAAACTCTAGTTGTTGGAATAATGATATCCAAAACCAAAGAAATAAAAAAATTTTAAACTGATCATGGTATGAAATTCTAACTTAAAACATAAATGTTACGATAATAAACAAAAATAAGATATATATATTATATATTATACTTATATATATATATATGTAAGTATACATTATTTACATTGTACTTCTAATGAGGCGACAGAAGGCTGTTGATGCTCTCTACAGAGTGCTGCATTTAAGTGATGGTTTTATAGACAGTATATTTAGCTCGCTGAACACTATCTAAGAGGCATTCCTTCTCTTCTTGTAGTTCTTGTTTTCCATCTAAAATGTTTAATATTTCACGAAGCAGAAGAGTTCTGAATTTGTGTAGCCCCAGAGACGGTCTGACACTTTTTTACATCAGGGCTCAAGCATCTGTCTACTCTTATTTTGGACCTGACATTGTTGGCACTAGTTTCCCACAGTTACAAGATTGGTCTCTTAGGAAACTGATTTCAGTAACATCGCTGGTGTTGCTGGTGGTATTGTCGTTTTTAAGTTTTTTTCTCTCTTCTCCTATTTTGTTACACCGAAACTAAGGTAGAGTTATGGCTTTTGGCAGCGTGCTTGAGAATTTTTAACCTTGTGCACGTCCCTAATTATGTCTCTACTGGTCCCAGCTTTGTACTCCTTCGGCAAGCAAAGGTTCTGTTGTTTCTTGGACGTTAATGGACAGCCCTGAGACTTGGAAACAGAATCAGAGGGTCCAGGATTTGGAGAAGAAATTCTTCACATGGTTGTGGTAACTTCTGTTAATATTATTAGGACTTTTTCTGCAGGTGGTGGGGTGTCTTCCTAAATAGGTTCAAGGTCCTTTTCATCCAAATCCTGTGGTAGGATTTCTGGAAAGGAACTCAGAACTTCTAGCTCTGTCACCAGCATCTCATATCACGTTTTAATGGATTTTTCCGTCAGTGGTCAAAATCATGACTTTTTTTGCAAATGTCAGGCATACAAACATTAAGTTAACCCAACCTGTGGTAAATGGAAAGTTTGGTTAGCTCTTTGAGGTTAAAATTCCACGACAAATTATACAATCGCTTATATACAAAGACAGTTAGAACCAGATATAGCTTGTACACTATTCCTGGTGAATGTAATATTCGTTATGAAAGCACTTCCCACTATAATGTCAGTACATCTTTGTTCCAAGAACTAGTAACTGTAGATTCCACATCATTCCTTATGAAACAATGTGCGTCAGCTACCTTGGTTAAGACCCCTACCATATGGACCCTGGCAAGTAACCAGTCAGCGAGTTCAGCCTTTTCACATACACGTCGGTTTTACCACCATTATCTGGTTGTCATAAAGACAAAACCTGGATCCAAAGAAAAGGAAGAAAAAGAGAGAGAGAGTGTGTAACGTGGGGGGGGGAGTGGGGGGGGGTCAACTGCAAGAAGACATCATTTGGTTGACAAGTGCAACCTGCTTTCTGATGCTTGATTTTATAAATAAATCCGGACTTATATTCGTGTAGTGAACACAAAAATGGCTTTAACACTATATAGTTAGCATAATATTTGTGTAACACTCGGAAAAGTTCACAAGTAGTTTGATATGCACCAATCAAACATATTTCGGAATCAAAAATACTCGAAGAAATATGCAAACTATGTTATATTTCATTTCGAATAACCAGTTGATGATATTGTGATTTTACCTTTCTGGGCTAAGTCACATAACCTACATTCATTCAAAAACATCAAACAAAATAATGTACCTTCATATACTTTCATAGGCCCAGACCAAGCTGAGTGTTTATCTCAATACAGTTCAATCTAATCACTGTGGTTTTCCACAACACGTATCCCACCTCAGTATGTCAATACAAGTTCTTTATTCTGTATCTATTATGTTGCTAAGTGTAACACACGCACAACTTGTGTATCCAGGAAACGTGAATGGCCCCATGGTATTTAAAGCAACTGGTTAGTGGGAGTCTCTTACTCCACATGCTTTTCTAAGGGCTTGATAAGGTGAAACCTTCTGACGCCATCCATTGAATAAAGATTATCCTAACTCAAGTGATGTCATGAAAATAAGGTAATCACAGATGGAAATAAGCAAAAATAGGCTGTTCTGCTATAGTCCAGATAACATTTGTGTCATCAACAGCAAAATAACCCCGCAAATACACAAAATACAATACAATGTACTACAAGTGCAACAGACACAGCAAGCAGCACGAATTATCGTTTGCCATTCCGCCAACACTGCGTCCTAGAGGTCGTAAAAAACACTACATCAGATAAATATGTAGAGAGAAAAATGTTGCCTACTTTCAGAACTTTACAAACTTCACGCTTGTCTTCATTGTCTTCCAATACATGACATTTATTGACATTATTTTTATTTTCCTGGCAGCCATTTTGGATTTATGTAATTTCCTGTATGTTCTAAAATTTCGTTCTAAATCTAGTTTTATGTATCAGGAATATAAAACAACTTGAAAATCGTATCAAATAATATGGGATAGTCGTATCGGTTGAGCGTTAACTTTCGGTCCTAGGGCTGAGACTACATACTACATATATATTTAGGTACCTTAACAACAGTTAAAAAACCACATTGGCTAGGGAAGTTTGTAACCGCAAAGTCACTTTTAAGGGATCATAAAACACCAGCTCGCAGTATCATTCTAGTTTAATTTATCAGCTCGACGTTTGGAGATAATAGGAAGTTGTTAGTTATTTAAACTTTTAAATCGTTAGTTTTATTCATGACGAGTTCTTACCTTGAGTTATATCAAGACATGACTTTTTTGATAAACATATTTTCATTCGTTGTAGCAATCCCTTGGTGGTCTGAATTAAACACTAATGTTATATTTATGCTAACTTTTGATTCCTAGTTCAGATATATTTTTGAATATATATTTGTTTTCACTCCCTAATTTTAGATTTTTAAAACAATCATTATTTTATTAGTTTTCAGGGTTCATAGACGTAGGTCAATGTTATTTTCTGAAGTTAAAACCATCACTGGTTATACATATTGGTACTTAACAGTAAAACATGAAATCTAAATAGTATATCAAATATTTTATTGTATAGAAAAATACAAATTGTATGTACAGTATATTTTTATGGAGTAAATGCTTAGCTGTCTTCAATACCTGATCTGACGAAGTAGAATGAGAAGACAACAGCTGATTTTCATGACAGTGTCGTAAATGTTTTCTTTGCAACAGGTGTACTTTCTGAAATATATTTTCGAATGTGTTTCCATCTACCGGAAACTTGTGTAACTATTTTGTTTATGTTAAATTTTAAATAGCACTGAACAGAAATTTGCATAGAGAAGTTAAGCAATATAAATACACTTTAGAAACCACTTCGGTAAGCTCTATTAAATACACTATTAAGTGTATTTTGGATTTGCAACTATGCGTTTTAAAAGTGTTTTTATCCATTGTTCACATTATATGATCTTTGATAAAAAATCCATATAATATTGGTTCTTTTATTGTAGTTGTATCTAGTCTAAAACTGCATTGAAAATATATTTTTGACTTACTTCCGATTAAAAGCTTAGTGGTAAAAATATAAAACACATCTTGATCTTATTTAAAATACGTACGAAAACTGTTTACTTAAATAAAAAGAATATTTCACAATAAATAGACAAAATATTAAGTTACAAACCGTTAAGAACATGTACTGCGATTCCTGCAGGATCAGCATTTGATGGAAAACACGTGTAATTTCCAGAATCAATGGGTTGAGCCTTTTCTATCCACAGCATGCTGGTAGCCCTAGGATCATTCTGAGTCTTAACGGTAACGCCTGCTTGGGCCTCGTAGTTGATCACACGATTATTGTGGTACCAAAATACATAGTCAGTAGGCAAAGGGCTTTCCTGGATTATGCATGTTAAGTTGATGGCACTGTCTTTGTTGATGTATATCGTTGGACCTCCTAGTATCTCAGCTTTGCTCACTAAAAGGAAATAAAAACATACGGTAAGAACTGTTTTAGTTCTCTGACCTAGTGCCAAGAGATTAAAGTTTGAAACTTGTAAAATAAACTGACGGTTAACTGCACTTTATAAGAATGGTGTTCCAGGTCCTACGTTTCCCATATATTGTTTTCCTCCATGATGACAATGATAATGCACTATTGTCCAACACCGCATAAGTTCTCACAAATTACAGCAAGGTCAATCATAGACAAACATTCCAGCAAGGTCAATCACAGAGAAACATTCCAGCAAGGTCAGTCTTAGACAAACATTCCAGCAAGGTCAATCACAGACAAACATTCCAGCAAGGTCAGTCTTAGACAAACATTCCAGCAAGGTCAATCACAGACAAACATTCCAGCAAGGTCAATCACAGACAAACATTCCAGCAAGGTCAGTCTTAGACAAACATTCCAGCAAGGTCAATCACAGACAAACATTCCAGCAAGGTCAATCATAGACAAACATTCCAGCAAGGTCAATTACAGACAAACCTTCCAGCAAGGTCTGTCTTAGACAAATAATCCACACTCTCCACTAAAAGTAAAGGCCAGCTTCCTATAAAAACTAAAGCAGATCACAGGCAAAATATCGACTGGAACTTTACTAAGGAACTTATGTGGGCAAATCGAGTTGTTATGAGTACGGTTACTCAGATGCTATGTGTCATGAAAACTATAATATTCGAGGTATGTCTGAAAGCATATGAAGTTTTGACTTATGCGTCTACATGAACGTTTTTGTTTATTCTCCTGTTAATAATACCAGAAGATACGTCCAACCTCATTCCAATGGCTCTTTAGATTGGGGTGTGGCTTAGGATAATTTTTTAATTTCTAAATGTTTGTTGTTTGAGTTTTTTTTTTCCGCTTTCATAGATGATAAAGAAAATTCTCTTCTTCTAAATGGTGTGTCCTTTGACTCTATCTAAGTAAACCATCTCATATAAGACAATCTTTCCTCAGAAGGGGGACGCGAAATATATTCTTCAGTTATATAGCCCATATTGGTGACATTCTACTATGGAATATTTGGAATTTTACCTTGAGTTATATATATATATATATTAAACATACTTCAAATGGCTAAATTATTATACAAATGGTTCTAATAAAGTACGATTAATCCTCTGTACAAAAATCAAACAATAGTAATATATATACACACACACACACACATATGTATATACATATATATATATATACGTACACACACATATATATATATATACATATATATATATACGTACACACACACATATATACATATATATATATACGTACACACACAAAAAAAGATTTATCCTGAAAACGCTATTCTAGAATACAATGAATAAGCGATATTAATTTTAATTAATTATATTTTGTTAGATATTATTTTTGAAGCGTTTCTCCAAGTGTGATAAAATAAGCTATAACGACAAAGTTATCGGTGATTTTTTAATATTATATATTTTTTTTCAAACAGACGTTTGCACATGATCACAGCTATTTTCTATTATATGTAATGTTCTTAAAATACAGTTCATCATTTATGATATTCGAGTCTGTGCTTAGCTTTCATTGCTTTTGAATTTAATTTCGGGCGACTGATAAGCTCATCTAACTTATGAAAATCAAAAATTTAATTTTACAATAATTTCTTACAACTTTTCCCATCACCTGAAGATTGTTAATAATGGAAGTATGTCCCCCAGTAGCACAACGGTATGTCTGTGGACTTACAACGCTAGAATCCGGGTTTCGATACCCGTGGTGGGCTGAAGATTGTTAATAATGGAAGTATGTCCCCCCCAGTAGCACAGCGGTATGTCTGTGGACTTACAACGCTAGAATCCGGGTTTCGATACCCGTGGTGGGCTGAAGATTGTTAATAATGGAAGTATGTCCCCCAGTAGCACAGCGGTATGTCTGTGGACTTACAACGCTAGAATCCGGGTTTCGATACCCGTGGTGGGCAGAGAACAGATAGCCCATTGTGTTGCTTTGTGCTTAATTAATTAAAAAACAAGCAATAATGGAAGCATAATCTATATAAAAGTAACTGAATTATACGACAAACTGTAATTAGCCGCGGCACAGCGGCTCATAAAATAGCTCTTAGTTTTTTTGTTTGTTTTTTCAAGTACAAACTTTTAGCTCATAGCCCTATCTCTTGACCGATTTAAAATCTAATTACAGCCGCGGCTACAGAGGATTCTCTCTTGTTTGTGTATAAACTGTATGAACAATATTTCAAATCAAACTACTTTTTTAACCAACAAATATGCATTTTAATATCAAAACCAATCCATCGTGATTGACAGGCATGTTTAGTTATAAGTTTAGGATATGTTTTTTTCAGTTGAAACAAGTATTTAATTATTCAAGATATAATGATGGACATTTTTTATACGTCTATATGGTATAGCCGCCCCCAGTAGCACAGCGGTATGTCTGCGGATTTACATCGCTAGAATCCGAGTTTCGATACCCGTGGTGGGCAGAGCACAGATAGTCCATGGTGTAGCTTTGTGCTTAATTACAAACAAACAATGTGGTAAAGCTAAGTTATTGGCTTTGACTCGTAATTCTAAACAGTAAATATGACGTTTAAGGTTAGAGCAATGTCAGTTTTTATTCAAATTTGTGTACAAAATGCTAGACTTATAAACCACAGACAGTATAGAAAACACGATGATAACTTTCTCTGGCTTATGTTTCCTAAAAACACAACACATCATATCAGGATAAAAACGTAACACATCGTAACAGGATACATAACTTGCTCATTGAAAAGAGTACAACTTTAGTCCAATTTTTATGATATAAAATTTAGATTTATTTGTATAACTAGAGACGGCTGATAATTTTTAAAGATATGCTTTAGTTATAATATGAATCGAAATCATAACAGGTTTCTGTATGTAATTATCAAAGTAATTTAAGATTATATAAAAATATTACAATTAAACCCAGTTCTCAGATTAATTTAAATATCAGAAACTATAAAGTTTCACACCCCAGTAATTCTATTTTTTTATGTTTATTCGTTACACTAAAGATATAGTTTATATATATGAATCGGAAGCATGTATAAATCGGTTGAAGGTATAATAAATAAGGATACACTTCTCATAATTGATATATACTCACAAAGACAGATGGCAGCACCTGACTAAAATTATTATATTTCTGACAACGTAATGTATCATTTATTTTTAATTCGATAATATTTATTTGTAATAATATAAAACTGACATTTTCTTATTTGTGTTTCCAATAAACGTGTTTAAGACCATACGAAGCTATGTATTTATTATAATTGTTAGACAGGTTAGAATGAAACTTGTTCGTAATATAGGTTGATTTTATCAAAATGCACAAGAATAAAAAAAAATAAATAATATTCGAAATATTGCGTTTGTGTTAGAAAATGGTAATGAAACATTTAACAAGTTCTCTGGAAGGTCACCTTGGATTTCTAAAAAATCTACCTTTGCTTGAAAAGTTCTTCATGTCGTGTAATCTTCTTTGCGTTTGCTTTGAAACAAATGTAAATTTTGCTAAGAAAAAATATATTAACATACGAAAGTACTTAAAACTGGTGCTTATCTCTTCCTTTCAGTGACAGTATTCGTTAGAATATTTGATATATCAAGGTTATTGTTTTATTTTAATTCTTTAATTATTGTTTAGCATTATTGCCTTAGTATATAAATTATATAAGTTAAACAAACCTCGTGAGATATTATTGGGTTTATGCCCGAAAATGCCGTTAACAGCAAGGGTACTCAAATTTCGAATCAATTTATTTTAATCTTTATAAGTGAGAACACTGGAACATTATATATAACTAGCTATACTCATTATAGGATTGATGTTTTATATTTATTTCCGATCTAGCTAGACAGCTTAGTGAGGTCGGAAGTTAATGTTAATATCTTATGTATTATACATAAATATTCCTCGGCTAAATCACTACGTTTCAAATATATTTACTGTTTTTTTGCAGCATAACATGAAAATTGTCGTCTAAAGTGATGCATATCTCAAGAGACCTGACCACAAGTTAGTGGATGGTCTCGTTAATCAAATCACAAATTGGATTTCCTCTGGAAAAGCTAACTAACCAGCTTCATAGTTAATTCTCGTTTTCTTTCTTTTAATATAATAGATTCCAAGTTATATTTCATGAACTTTAACTTAAAAGATAGCTGATCTTTGTGGAGCCTCGCAATATCGGAAAACCATTTCTAAGTTTGTTTGTTGGCTTAGGTAATAATTAAATTAATAATACTGAGGTTTTCCACTAAAGATGAGCTTCAGACAAACATAGGTCATTAAGTTGTGGCCTCTGCAGAAGAAGATAAACACAAAGTGTCGGTTATGTGGTTTATTAAATATGCAGTAACTTCAGAATCAAATATAAAGCGTATAAACTCAATGATAAAGCAAAGTATAACGATTACCTTAAATATATGTAAGGTTATATATATATATATATACAATTCACAATGTATACATAAGTTGGTTTGATCAATTCATCAATAAATTCTTACAGAAACTTGGTATCAATTTTTTTGTTACTACAATTCCGAACACTAGAAATGATTAAATTTTTTCTTCTCATACTAAATTTCATTTAAGTTATATCTCATATTGATCTAAATGATTTACACACACGTAGTTCAATAGAACTTTACAATGTTCATAGAACTTGGTATTTCTGTGACCAATAAAACACTTGAAGGTGAAAATTTTAAAGTTATTTTCAGATCTTTGATATTTTTTTGTTACTCCTGTATCTTCCATGGTTACTCTTGGAAGTACGTTAGTGTTACGTGGTTCGCTCATGTACTCTAAAGTGAGACCAAAAATTAATAGAATAAATTGTGCCCTAACATATTCTTCTCAAAAAGAGTTGTCTTCTAGCTATTTTACTTGTGTATTCTACTGCAATTACGATGATAATCTGACGAAATATTAAAACACTAGAAGGGGATTTGACTTCACAGATCTACTCCGGTGTTTATACTATTCTGGGGCTAACTTTTATAGTTCGACTTAAACATTTCAGTGTCACTTGACATTATGAAATGCCTACGACTGTCACATAATTTACATCCATATATGTTGCTGATTCAATCTAAATGTCACTAAAGTCCCTCTCTTTGGACTGTCAATCACTATGTCAGTACCACGTGGCTTTTAATCTCTAAACTTTAAGTATTTGATTAATTTAATAAATCAGTATGTTGTATGTTGTCACCGACCGACGCAATCGAAAATAAAATGGTGTCATACATCTTGACAGGATTTCTAATTTTCTCATCCATGACAATAAATAATCGGATCACAAGATGATAAAAGGTACTCGTTTTTCTTAACTTTTATTCTGTAAATGTGTAAATTTTATTTCTAGCTCACGTGACTCTTTGCTACCAACACATTTGAAGCGTTCATAAAAGGGGCATGAATTACGTTAGATATTTTAAATCAGAGCAACAATAGTTTTAAAGCTTGTACCTGAGACTAGTCTAGCCGCTCATTGTAAGTTTTATTGTGGTTGTAGTTAGCCATATATTATCCCTGGATCACTCCAGGAATATAGAAGGTGACAATTCATTTGAGTGATCCAGCCATGTCTATACGTTAGAACCATGGAAGGAGTAAATTTCCTCTATCAACAAGACCATGGGTTGTTTAGAGGAGGTATAACCAGACCATGAGTTGTTTAGAGGTGGTAGAACCAGACCATGGGTCTTTTGAGGAAGTGTACAATCAGACCATGGGTCGTTTAGAGGAGGCAGAATCAGACCATGAGTGAGGAGGTAGAACCAGACTATGAGTCGTTTAGAGGAGGTAGAACCAGACTATGCATCGTTTAAGGAAGGTAGAACCAGACTATGCATCGTAAAGAGGAGGTAGAACCAGACTATGCATCGTTTAAGGAAGGTAGAACCAGACTATGCATCGTAAAGAGGAGGTATAATCATATCAGAAACAATATTTTTTTCCAAACCAATGTGAGATAGTTAGACCTATCACTGTGTTACATGAGATAACTAGAACTTAAAACAGACAAATCCTTAGCCAAGTCCATGATTACGGAGATGTTATTCATTATAGTCCAGGGTGCAGATCCCAAACTAAGCATTTTGTAAAACTTTCTTTTGATGTCTATTTCAAGGAATGGGTCCAATGAGCACTACCTCACTTACATAAACCTTTTAATAAAGAAATAGATATATTTTTCATCGAAATATACATTCGGAAGCCTTCTTATTCCACACCCAGACTGCCAGTTTCTAAACCTGAAGGTCATATAAAGCTGTTTTTAGATCCGAATAAACTTTATGATATTACTGTTCGATGTGTAACCCCTCACTAAAGTTGAGAGAATGCCGAATACTGTTATCACAGCTAATTGTATCTTTAATATTGATTTATCTAAAGGTTATGTTCCACTTAAGATAGAAAATGATGTAAATAATCAAAGATTGCTTGATTTGAATTTCATGGTGAGCTAATAAGTCTCATACAACTATTCAGGGAAAAATGGATGAACGAAAACATATCTATTGTCGACGACGAATTTTGCATAATACCAGAACTCGTCATTCTTCCAAAGAATAAAGTGTTTGAAAATATAATAAGGCTGATACTGTTGTCTTATGACAAATGTAATTGATTGTAATCACGCTTTACTAGGAAAAGGCGTTCCCACCATAACAAGTACATAAATGTGGTTGAGAGAATAACTTAGTTCAATTGTAGGCTGTGTTAAAGGATTCAGTAGTAACTGCTAAAATCCAGGAAATTCTGTTTCAATAAACAGCGATACATTTCTGGGTTATATGATAGAGAAATGGAATATTCCCCTGGATAAGTTAAGGTGAATGCACTAAAATATTTTCTTATTCCCAGGAGTAAAAGAGGAATGAGATTATTTTTTTCGGTTATCCAGGTATTAATTATACTAAAATGTGCAGAATTGTTTTCTCCACTGACTAACTAGAAAGGGAAACAAGCTTCAGAGTCAGTAAGTTTTAAAGATAAACTTATTAATTTACTGAAAGCTGATGCCTCTAATATATTACTAGGATTTATAAAAGTGGATCATCCCATCTGTGGGAGAATGGAAAAGCAAGCTTCTTTCAGTTGTATCTTACTTTCACGCGAGGAACCTCTGTTCACTATAGAGAACTATTTGAGAAACAAACAAATATTGATAAAGCGTTTTATAGAGAAAGGAGACATTTATTAATTTTTTCGTTTGCCTTGTTTAAGCGAAAGCTATACATTAGATTGATTGTCCCATGCCTACTGCGGGTATCGAACTACCCACAGGCCCTATATTGTAGTAGCTAAAAAATTGTATTAAAGAAATATCTTGATACTTTTTGCATTTTTTGAAGTTTATTGAGAATGAAGAAAAATTAGGAAAACAAGCGTAATTAAAATCAGCCTGTCTAAACTATTAATAGTAAATAGACAAAAAACGATTTATAAGTATAATTAGGTGGTTTTATTTTGGGGAGCATACTACATGTTTCGACAAAACATTGGTCTGTCGAAACATGTAGTATGCTCCCCCCCCCAAAAAAAATAAAACCACTTTATTATACTTATAAATTGTTGTTTGTCAATTTATTATTACATTATAATAATATGCTTCTACACACAAGTGTCTATCCTACCGTACGTTGCAAGGATCACATCGTTATGTGGCGAAGCATGATTACTCCAAATATGATATAGTGCTGCAAATTGGCTATTGAAATAGTTTATTATAATTTTATTATTGTAATGTTATTTAAGTAATAACAAACGTTTGAAGTGTTTCACAATGACTGAGCAAATTCAGACCTGTGCTGTTGATAGGTTAATATTTAGTATTGTTATGTTATTTAAGTAATGACAAACGTTTGGAGTGTTTCACAATGACTGAGCAAATTCAGACCTGTGTTGTTGATAGGGTAATTTTTAGTATTGTAATGTTATTTAAGTAATAACAAACGTTTGGAGTGTTTCACAATGACTGAGCAAGCTCAGATATGTGTTGTTGATAGGGTAATTTAGTATTGTAATGTTATTTAAGTAATGACAAACGTTTGGAGTGTTTCACAATGACTGAGCAAGTTCAGACCTGTGTTGTTCATAGGGTAATTTAGTATTGTAATGCTACTTAAGTAATGACAAACGTTTGGAGTGTTTCACAATGACTGAGCAAGTTCAGACCTGTGTTGTTGATAGGGTAGCAGATCTTCGATACCACAGTTTACATAGCAGTTTGTTTTTATCATTTGATGGAGAAATGTTAAAACAACTTTCTCTTTTTTGGGGGGTTTTCAAACGTGGGGGTATTGATTCTTTTGAACATTTCAAGCATCATTTGATTTCTTCCTTTAGTTATTGATTAATATTACACTTTGATCACATTATTATAATATACGTTTTCTGTTATCTGTTGGTAAATAGGAAAGCAGCTAAAACCTTACTGGATGTATTGACCTGAGACATACCTGCTGCATATCTGAAAATCTGCAGTCTCGCTTTACCTGCTGCATATCTGAAACATCTACAGTCTCGCTTTACCTGCTGCATATCTGAAACATCTACAGTCTCGCTTTACCTGCTGCATATCTGAAACATCTACAGTCTCGCTTTACCTGCTGCATATCTGAAACATTAGGTCTGAAATTATTTATTTTATTACTTAATACATAAAGTCTATTATAGATGTAAATGTTTGACAAATCATACAGACCGTTGACTTGATTATCAATACCTGTCTATGCCTTATACAAATCATACAGACCGTTCATTTGATTATCAATACCTGTTTATGTCTTATACAAATCATACAGACCGTTGACGTGATTATCAATACCTGTCTATGTCTTATACAAATAATACAGACCATTGACTTGATTATCAATACCTGTCTATGTCTTATACAAATCATACGGACAGTCGACTTGATTAACAATACCTGTTTATGTCTTATACAAATCATACAGACAGTCGACTTGATTAACAATACCTGTTTATGTCGTATACAAATCATACAGACAGTCGACTTAGATAATTAATTGCCTCAATTCGTCAGTTGTCCATTACAATTTTGAGATGTTTTGTGTTTTACAGGTTATTTGATTGTAAATAACTGTATATATATATATATTATAAATATTTTTCTACTTCTAATACTGATTCATTTCACATACCGACAACATTTAGGGTTATGAACATGCTCTTCTTCGGTACTGTACTGACTTGACATTCGTACTGACCGGCATCTTCTCTTTGTGGATACTTCACCTGCAGCATCCAGTCGTCCCTATCGTCGCGATGTATGACTTGGAATTTGTCGCTACTGGAATATACAAAGCGACCTACTGTGAGGACGTGAAGATCCTTTCTCCTAATCCATGAAACCTAAGGTGAAAAATATAGAATCCCTCGTTGAAAATAATACTTATTCTTAGGAATATAATTGTCAAATTAATGAAAGATTGATGCCAAAAGTAATAGTTATTAATGAAATAGCAGCTCTATTTGTAAAATATTTTATAGTTATTAATGAAATAGCAGCTCTATTTGTAAAATATTTTATAGTTATTAATGAAATAGCAGCTCTATTTGTAAATTATTTTATAGTTATTAATGAAATAGCAGCTCTATTTGTAAATATTTTATAGTTATTAATGAAATAGCAGCTCTATTTGTAAATTATTTTATAGTTATTAATGAAATAGCAGCTCTATTTGTAAATTATTTTATAGTTATTAATGAACTAGCAGCTCTATTTGTAAATTATTTTATAGTTATTAATGAAATAGCAGCTCTATTTGTAAATTATT